AGAATGGGCGTGCCCCTGACCCAGAGAGGGTGAAGGCATTCCAGAACATGAAAGTGCCGAAGAACACGAAGGAGCTGCAATCGTTTATGGGGTTGGTCAGCTACTACGGTCCGTTCATCACTGGGTTGCACAGTTTAAAACCCCCATTCAGCCGACTTCTGTGCAAGGACGTGAAGTTTATTTGGTCTCCAGAATGTCAAAACGCGTTTGATGCCATAAAGACAAAGATATGCGACTCAACTATGCTATCGCACTTCGAGGCTGACAAAGAAACCATTGTCCAGGCAGACGCCTCTGATTACGGTTTAGGCGGAGTGCTCCTTCAGAAGGACGCAGATGGGAGAGTACAGCCAATCATGCATGCCGCCAGGTCACTGACGAAGGCTGAACGGAATTATAGCCAGATTGAAAAGGAGGCACTGGCCATTATCTTCGCCGTACAGAGATTCCACCTGTTTATTTATGGCAGACCCTTCACACTGCACACTGATCATCAACCACTGAAGTTCCTTTTGGGTACTAACTGTGGTGTTCCCCAGAACGTAGCTAGGAGAATACAACGTTGGAGTACTATTCTTCAAAACTATGACTTTCAGATCCAATATGTGCCTACTCAGAAGTTTGGAGCTCCGGACGCTTTATCACGACTGAGTACAAGCAACGAAAATCAAAAAGACGTGGTTGTCGCCAGTACGCTAATGCAAGATGATGACGAGTTTAGAGGTGTCATCCGACAGTTGCCGCTCACAGCCGAGCACATCAGGGCCACCACTACAGCAGACCCACTTTTGCGCCAGGTGAAAGAGTTTATTCGGAACGGTTGGCCCAGCGACGACAAAGTACACCCATCCATAAAGCCTTTCAGGAACAGAAAGGAACAGTTGTATATCACGGAAGACTGCATAATGTACGATGGTAAAGTGGTGATTCCAACAAGATATCAGCAACAAGTTTTGCGGGAGCTCCATGCCGGACATCAGGGCATGACCCGCATGAAACAACTGGCCCGCAAGTACGTATATTGGCCGGGAATTGATAACGACGTGGAATCTTTTGTTCGAAGCTGCGGCCCGTGTGGACGTGAGGCTAAGAACCCACCGAAAGTACCGCCCGTGCCATGGCCAGAGGTAACGAGACCTTGGAGTAGAGTCCATATGGACTTTGCGGGTCCGTTTTTCAACCGAATGTTTCTAATTGTTGTCGATGCATGGTCAAAGTGGCTAGAAGTTTTCGACGTCTCGGCAGCTACTGCTGATATCACGGCAAGGAAGACGGAAGAACTAATAGCGAGATACGGCATCCCCACGGAGATTGTGACAGATAACGGCACTCAGTTCACGTCATCAATCTTCCAACAACTGTGTCAGAAATGGGGAATTCGACATGTGACGTCACCACCATTCCATCCACAATCAAATGGCCAGGCAGAACGGTTCGTCGACACGTTCAAGAGAGCGATGAAAAAGATGTGGAACACTGGTGTTAAACTGGAGTATCTCAACACATTCCTCTTTGCCTATCGAACAACTCCAAAAAGTGATCTTGGGGGCCAGACACCAGCCGAACGGTTTTTGGGACGACAGCCGGATACGCGATTACAGTACCTACAACCGGAAGCTCGAGTTCCACGAACAACAAAATATTACTTTCGCGAGGGAGAGGAGGTGTTTGCTCGCAACTACAAAGCCGGAGAGAAGCCCTGGATAGAAGGTATAATAAGAAAATCCAGAGGTGTTGTGTTCGAGGTGGAGACAGCAGCTGGAAAAATAAAGAGGCATGCAAATCAGCTCAGGACTAGACACACCAAAGACAGTCAAATGGCACTCGACTTGCTGTGTGATACCTTTGAGGTTCCAACCCCCACGGTAGACAGTCAGACAACATTACCCGTCGTTCGTAGAAGTAGCAGAAGAACGCAACCGCCAAGGAAACTGGTCTTGGATCCGAAGAAGAAGAGGTACGAGGTCCAACTTTCAAAAGCGGGAGGTGTTATGGAGAGCGAAAGCGGCGTAGAGCCACGGCCTAAGGCGCCAGACAAAGGACCAAGTCGGCGACGTGAGTCACGCGCGAAGTTAGACAACCGACCTGCGCGCACTGCAGCGCCGAGCACGCGTGGTGGCTTTGCTCACGTGTGCGGCCCAATCAATGGATGGCCGAACATTCCAGAAGTTTCCGCGGCGGGGTCATCGCGCACGCGGTGGCCAATCAGCGACCAGCACGCTCGGGACAGGAACATTCTAGAACGCCCTCTATGACTGGCACGTCATTGGACGGAATGTTCCAGAACACACGGGAGCCAATAAATAGCACACTTTCTTACGAGTTAGGACTCCCTCCTGTCCGCAAGTTCCAATAAAGTGCTTGTCCTCCGAACCGGCTCTCTTCCTGTCCTACCTTCCTACCGGGTCATAACACGAGTATTCGAATGACACGTTTAAAAATAATATGATCTTTTTTAAGTAAAGCTGGAAAAATAACTGGATAACAATAAAGAGTGAGTGGAAGAATACAGCCATCTATGAATCGCCAGATTAAGGACTGGGGGGTGTGATATGAACGTAGACGACGAATGTAATAAACAAGTATTTTGAATTTTTGTTAAAAGGGTTTTTATATGAAGAGAGAAAGAGAGATTTGAGGACACAGTAACACCTAGATACCGGCGTACTTATATAGACAACAAATACGTTTGAGACATATTCAGGATATGACAGCGAATTAAAATCAATCACCTCTCTACAAAGTACATCTTAACTACCGTTGGCTCACGACAGACGTCGCCTCATTGATTGTATCCCTGATTAACCTATCCAATTAAATGATCTTTCAAAGGCTGGAAAATAAGTTTGATCGTCTCTACCAAAAGCTGATAGGTGCTTTTCCATTGATATGACTTTCTGACAAACAAATCCTAGCTCCTTATTTCTAATTCTCCGGTTCACGAGACATCATAAAGAATATCTACAGAAATGCTGTAAGAATTGTAATAATTTCCACTTAAAGATGCGGCTATTGTGCTGCAAGCAAATGGACTTTGTCCAGGAATGGTTTTAACAACGCCTTTGGGCGCTGCGACAATGAGAATCTTCCTGGTTCGAGTTACATTATCTCAGGAATCAACAGAAATCTCACGAACATCTAATGGACTTCGAGATGCATCACCGCAGGACTGAATGGCAGAGGTCGTCAGCAGCAGGAAGAGGGGGCAAAGCCCAGCCACCAATTGTTCCCTCTTCAGCGCACATAACGAATGACAACTAAGTCGTGTTAGCATCAGTATTGCCATAAAGCCTGTCTTGCCTGTTGGTGGTCCTGCCACGAAGAATTTCTGGCCCCGTTCGCGTTTACCCTTCTTTACGTCTGACTTAAAATTTAGATTTGGTATGAATTCTTTTGATTGCTGTCTTGCTTAGGCTTGTTCACATGGTTTTTGCGTCTTGAGAAACGACAGTTTAAATTTTCGTGAAATAATTCAGCCATAATTTTATTTTTCTGGCTTTGGTATTTATTAGATCTGGTATTTTTACGCCACACAGGCTTACAGAATGTGGGCTAACTCATGAAATGTCAACCGAAATTACGAGATGTATCTTAGTTTTGAAATGGTCGATTAAGTATTGTTGTAAAACTAATCACCTTCTAGCATAATTCTATAACAATCCATTTACTTCAGGGTGGCTTCTTTCGAACCAACTTGTTTCCGACTACATACAAGAACTATTCTCTGTAAAAATGACTACTTGAGTAGCATGCACTTTTTGGAGGTCCTTAAGAGTTCAATTATAGTTCGTGAAAAAATGCATAAAAATACTAATTTCTTTATCTTTTCCGTAGAAAATAATGTCTTCTTTCCATTTTATACTCGCAGGAGGAGCATAATTCGCTTTCAAAAAAGGTTCTAATTGTAGGACTTGTAAATATCATAAAATCGCCGTTCATAAAACGTCATGTATCTGCATTTACCAGTGTGGCTTGTAAATTTAACAATAGTGCGCAAATCCACTGCTTAATTTTATGGACCCCATATGATCTTCTCTTAATTACTGTAGAGAAATATATAGTTTTCTGAAAAGGTAAAATATACAACTTGTAGTTTTGAAACCCTGAAATGAAGTGTAACAGCAGGTCGGGTTCAAAATTATTTGGAAACTGAAAAAGTTATTAAAAACTGAATTTCATTCTCTTTCGTGTATAAAATTTGAAAAACACGTGATTGTATACCGAACAGGTTGAACACCAAATATTTTCTGCATGGTTTCTTTAAAATATAATTGAATTTTCAAGGGCGTCTAAAATCAATGAGAAATTGGCATGCTACATAAGTAGTCATTTTTTACAAAGTTTTGGTCTTGCATGCAGTCGAAAACATGTTCAAACGAAAGCTGGCACCCTGTGGAAACCGAATCATTGTAGAATTGTGCATCATGATGATAAGTTTTACAACCTTGCTTAATTAATCTTTTCGGAACGAGAATGCATTTCGAAATTTCAGTTGACATTTCACGAGTTGGCCCACCTACTGTTGATAAAATTGCGCGCTGATACCAGCTTGCCCGAAAAAAAGTATGATAAGGTTTAAAATTGCAAATGTCTATGGCAAGGTTAATAGAAGCATGAGCCTCTGGATGGGCTTGATTCCGATGAGTTGTTTTTTTCCTGTATTATTAAACAGAACCCGAACTACCCGATCCACCGAAGCCAAGAACACGACCCTCCCCAAAACCGTCGCTGACGCGGTTTACTGACGAGCCTGCGAAACAGGCTTTTCACAGTCCGATCCGTCCAATGAAATTACCCCTGCCCTCTGTGACTGATGCGGAGGACCAGCAGCACCTCTTCGCTGGCGATGAAAAGGATTGCGTGACCCGCTCCGGAACTGTCGCACACAGGGACTCTCCCAGGGACTCTCGAGAGGCCAGAAGGACCCCCGCACCTCGTCGACCCAAGCCACCCCGAACCAACAACCTGGTCAGCACCAAGCTTGAGGACTCCACCAAAACTAACTGCGTCTCCTCCTCTTTAGTGCAGGAATTTACATTGGTAATGCATGACTTCTGTGATCCTTTTTGTACTGAGGTTCATATGTGAGAGTGATTTTTTAGCAGTAGCTTGTTTCTACATGCGTCCATTGAATTCTCCAAGACAGCGGAGTAAAATGAAAGCTTTACGGGTGTTTCGCGAGTACCAGCAATCGATAGACCAATTGCACGCAACCTGCGAATTGAAACGAGCCAAACTAGACTGCCATGCCAGTAAGACGCTCGATGTTGTCGACCGGATCTTATTTCGTATTCGCGCCTGCAGTAAGCAAGGTTCAGCCGCATGTCATTTTGGACCGATGGTGATAGGGGACTCAACTCTAACCCTAGCGCCAACCCCTAACCATAGCCCTAACCCATAACACTAAGTCTTAATCCTAACCCTTAACAGGTGCGGCAACGAAATAAAAAACTGCCTTAAATCAGATCGCATATGGGCTAGTTCAAATGAAATAACTATCGGAAGCGATGAATAAATAAAGCATTTAAAAAAATAATCGCNCGCGCAACTTTGTGTGCTTTTTGCTTTGGTAAAATTTCGACGTTTTTGCCGCGACTATTCCAGGCAGCGTGAAACGTTCGGAATCATTTTTTTAAATTGTCGAGTTCGGTCTCGAAAGTTTGCAATGTAATCTTTCGTCTCATACGTTTTTCTGCACGGAATATTTTTGGAAAGAAATCGCGATAAGCGACCGCGACATCAGGCTGGCAAAGCACTCACTCTAGGAATTTGATAACACACACGTCCAAAAAATTAATCACGAACTTCAACTTGAACGCAGTCCCACTTTACTATGTTGAAACAAGCTTTACAGTCTAGCCTTCTACGTTCGCTGTCATGGTAAGTTTTTCAGACAGACAAGGGCTTAAACCGTCACTTTGGTCTTCCTACTTATTCGTGGAGAATTCTCCACTTTTAACTTTCCCATAAAAATAACTTGTTCAGTGGATCGTACAAGTCAACATCCATCCTCGGCAAGGATAAAGTATATGGGCGATGTCAGAAAAAGGTCAATGGTGGAGCGTGTCGTACGAGAATGGGTGGGACCCTATAGAAGCGTACTGGAGCCGTCTTAAAAGGGGACTATGTCCGACTCAGTAGTATAGTACCGTCCTTGCTTTTGGCTGACCAATGCCGGCCATATCGCGGACGGGACGGAGGAGATTGTTTTGTAATGTTCTCCGTTGGGTACACGGACATGACGGCAAAGTAGACGGTGGGAATATGCAAAGAAGGTGTTTCCTGCATCCCCACAATTACGGACAAATCTTTTGTCTTTGACTAAAGAATTACGGTTGGAAGTACAGAAAAATGCGCTTATCTGTAAATTTTTGCAGTACCGCGAACTCGGGGTAGTTAAGTCCAAGGAATGTCATCCTGGCGGGGTTAGAGCCCTCGAAGAGCGTGACTGAGTTCGGACCAAAAACTCTACCGAACAAAGCCTACAGAAATAATTATAGTAGGCAGTTCACGATGATAACCCTATTCCGGCCACATAATTTATTCTTACCGAAAGGTATCTGAAACTAAACTCCCACTCAGTATCTTTAAGCGTTTCCGCAGCTGTTGTTTCTTATTTTGCTATTTATTTCCGATAATTTTCCGCCGTGAATCTGACCTCTATGACCTGCTATTCTGTTTGTATTGGGATTTTGTGTTCTTTGAAGAGTAGGCGAAGTTTGGCATTACTTACTGTACAAAACAAGCCGGAATAATGTGTTAAAATAGTTGTTTTTCAGTAAACTGGGTTTATGACTCTTCGCTGTTAAAATTAGAGTAGAACGGCATTTCACGAAAATGAGAAATGCGTAGAGGGCAAATTAACTGGCTGCTCCTGCACATTTAACGGACGCACTTGCTTCTCGAAAATTGTTCAAATCCCGAAAAGATCGAGTTTGCGATGTCAGCTAGCCAGTCATGTTAATTAACTTTGTTGCAGTGTAAAAAGAAACATTTAAAATAAGTAAAAAACGCTGTTCCGATTTTCCCAGTTTTGCCTAATTGAATTAACGTCCGAGTAATTGAGCACGGTGCGATAAAAAGTTGAAATAATGCAAAGACGAGGCACATTTTTTGAGTTGTGGTCAACTTCACGATCCAGTTTCAACTTACAGCTAAATATAGCAAATTCGTTCCTACTTAATGTTCATAAGTTGGTTGAAGTGAGGTCTTAACGCTGACGACAAATAATCTACCTGTGGACAAAATACTACTTTATTTTAAACACTTTGTCCAGACTTAACCACTTGCCAGCATAAAATATTCTTCCCATTTTCCCATTAAAACGGGCATTTGATATTTTATGGATCTTTCTGATGCCTTTGATCCACACACTGCTTTTAAATTTAAGCCGCCTCCTTTAATAAGATTCCGTTAACGTCATCCATTCTGTGAGGTAATTACAAGCCATATTTCATCTCTGTCTTCCATTTTAACAAATTTGGATACTTGGTTGATTGTGAGCCTTCTACTACCATGCAACTTCATAAGCAACCCGCAGTGTAGTTTCAAAGATCAGGATTTAGTAACAGCTTCACCCTTATCAATGTGTTTTACGTGGCGGAAAGAAATGTCTTTTTGGTCAATTAAATCAGAGTTCTGTAGTCTGTACCATATTGTTTGCTGAGTGGCCTCACGCATGTAATAGGGACGTGGGAGATCAGTGACAAGAAATGTCATTTTTGCGGGGTTAGAGCCCTCAGAGGGCGTGACTGGATTCCGAACAAAATCTACGCAACAACGCCTACGTAGATAATTATAGTAGGCAGTTCACGACAGTGACACTACCTGGG